AGCCCCCTCCTCAAACATGGGGTCTATCGTAAAACCGTTGGCTGGCTCAGTGGAGGTCAGACTCATCTACAGTCCTGCCAAATTTCATGTTGATTGGTGCAGCCGTTTTTGTGCTACGGTTGACCAAATATCACTGGAAAAAAAAACAGTACGAAAACAATATGACTCCTGCTTACACTTGGCGTGCGGGGGTCATAATTTTAAAAAAATTAAAACTGACAACTGTGATTGTTCTGGATTTGCTTGCACTGATTTTAATTATCAACGACCTCAGTTCTGACAAAAATGAAACATTGTGTAAAATGTAAATAAACCTATATTTTATTCATGATGAACCACACAAATGTTTCAAGTAAGAAACCATACATTTTTTTAATGGATAGGATTTTATGGCAGCAACAGGTTGTAAAGGTAAATTATAGTAATAATTGGGTTAACTGGCAACAGGTCAGTAAGAGGACTGGGTATAAAAAGTGTGTTTAGACAGACGCCATATCTTAGATATACATGTATAAATGGCAAGATTCACCAGTCTATTCTACTAATTAATGCTGGGGGGTTTCAACAGAAAATTGGAAAACTTTGAATATCCCATCATCTGCAGGCAGCTAAAAATCACATCAAAAAATGTTACAAATCTGGAGAAATCTGTTTACACAGACTTAATTTCAAGACTGAAATTCAGTAACGGATGATTATGTACTTTAGATGTGAAATCTGGTTTGATTCTGTTCTTCACATCTCTGCATGGGCTCAAACACTTCTACAAAGGCTGATTAAAGCTCTATCAGGCAAAAAAAGAGGCCATGTTTTGAGCCGAAGCTCATTTAAAATCGACTGAGGCAAATTGAAGAAACTATTGTGCAGAAATCCAACACCACATCCTCAGTACTAAAGAGACGGACCAGCCAGCCAGTCATCAGCACACAGTATAAAACCCTGCCTCTCTGATGGTATAGGGGTGCATTAATGCCTCTGACATGGGCAACTTGCATATCTGGATGTCATCAATGCAGAAAAATATTTGGAGGGTTGAAAAGAAAATCTGCTCTTTTTTTTTTAAATGTGTTGCTGCCATGAAATTCAATTGTAGTTTTTTAGTTGAAACATTTGAACTGTGAATAAAATGTGGGTTTATGACAATTATAAATCAGATCATTTTGATTGTGTTTACATTTTACACTTTTTCTTTTTTTAGTTTGTAAAAATGAAATTTAAAGACTTTTTTTCTTCATTAAAAGCAAATTATCCTTTTTTTTTAATGACGAGGGTACAACTAAAATATATTCCATCTGTTACTATAGTAAAAATGTATTTGGCTACGAGATATTTACTGATGATGCATAATAAATGTGATCTAGTTGAATAGGAGAGTTGACTTGGTCCTGCTCAGAAGCTAATCTGATATTTTACAGATGGTAACGGGTGAGACGACGCTCCCAGCTGCTGCTTCTCCACGTCGTTCTGTCGGTCAGCGCTCGGCTGAAWGTCTGAAGTTCAGACTGCAGACATGTTTCTCTGTCCGATACGCAGRAAGTGGACATGTTGACAATCTTTAAACCCATTACAGCCCTAATGTGTCATCGTGGCTTTATTTTACCCTGCAGCTATTCTGTTGAACTTACAGAAGACACRCGTCAGGGAGTTGATCCCAGATGCTAATACCTAATTTTCAACCTGATATTTATTATTTGAATAACACTTTAAAAACTTACCTTTTTTATTTAGCCTTACTTAAACATTGATAAATAATWAATTATACTTGAAAATATCATTAGTTAAGGATGATTAGTACTTAAAGGCACAGTGTGTAGGATTTTGTCAATCCTTTTAGCCGAAATTGAGATAATCACTAATGACAATAATAAAAAACAAGTCTAATCATTGCAGACAAAGACCTTGTTTTATTATTTTTACCTTTATAAAAAGCTGTTTATATCTCCATGGTCGCGGGTTGCCACTATAGGCAGCCGCCATCTTGTCTAC